GCCCGAAACGTCAGCCTTCCTGCTCCTCTGATGCTGCTTGGCCTGCTGTGTTCATCCAGCTCTACACCTTGTTATGCTCAGAGAAGGAGCCAGTCTATCAAGGATAGTCAGCATGGCTTTGTAAGGGAGAGATCAAACTTGACTGAATTTTTCAAGGTGACTAGGTGTGTAGATGATGGTATTGCAGTTGATGTAGTCAACACTGATTTCAGTAGGGCCTTGGATAAGGCAGGCTGGTTAAGAAACCAAAAGTCCTTGGGATCTAGGGCAACTTGTCAAATTATATCCAAAACAGGCTTGGTTGCAGAAAGCAGAGGGTGATGGTCAAAAGGGTGTTTTTGTGAATGTAAGCTTGTGTCTAGAGACACACTATAGAGTTCAGTGCTGGGTCACTTGCTCTTTGTTGTGTACATTAATGATTTGGACATGAAGTTAAGTGATAGGATCAGCACATTTGCAGATGATACTAAAATTGGGATGACAGGATGATGTAGATGGGCTGGTCAGATGGGCTGATCAGTCACAAATTGAATTTAATTGAGATAAATGTGAGGTGATGCATTTTGGGAGGACTAACAAGCCAATGGTCTACACGTTGAATGGTAGGAACCTAGAAAGTACAGAGGATCAGAGGGACTTTGATGTGCAAGTCTATAGTTCCTTGAAAGCTACAGAACTGATGGATAAGGTGGTTAAGAACACATGAGGAGTGCTTGCCTTTATTAGTCAAGGCATTGAATAATAGCGAAAGGAGGTTATGATGGAGCTGCATATAAATTTAGGCCATAGCTGTAGTATTGTATATAGTTCTGGTGGCCACACAATAGTTAGGATGTGACTGTACTACAGAGGGTACAGAGGAGATCTCCAGATCTTTTCCTGGGGTTGAGAAATTCACCAGTAAACGGAAGCTAGATAGATTGGATTTTCTTTTTCTTAGATCGGAGAAGGCAGAAGGTGGGATTCGATTAAGGTGTACAAAGTCACGAGGGGCATAGACAGGGTAGATAGGGAGAAACTTTTTCAGGGAGTGGAGAATTCTTACCCTTGCTCCTATATTTTGCGCCAACACATTTGCCCATCAGCAAAAGTAATACCTGTCATGAACCAACAGAATTGGGCAATGTTTTGAAACTTAGATTTACAAAAATGTATTATTTTTAAACATCCTTTTAATTATTTTACTTGAAGAGAGCTAACCTGGTGCAGTTTGATTGATCTAAAAATGATTTATCACAAAATGTAAGCAATTTTAATCAGTGTCATCCACCACCTTGGAATATTGCGAACATTGGAAAATGACATTTTAAAAAAAAAACTTTATAGGTCCTTTTTTCTACTTATAGGTGGCAGAAGGGGGAAAAAAAACAGTAATGCTTGGAAATAGATATACTGGTACTCAACTCTGAAGTATAAATGACCAGTCAGATTAGTGAGTCTCATCTTCCAGTTTTATTAGCTTTTCCTTCCAGGACATTTTTAAAATAGTAAAAGCTTGTTAAAACTTGGCACTTGCAAAAGAGTTATATTTAAGAGTCAACTTGAAGGCCTGCTGACAGCCACAATTAGCAGAAACTCCCAATGGTGATCTAGGGGCAAGGCCAGCGATGTAGGCAACACCAGTTTCTGTTTTTAAAACAGCCAAAAAAGAAACCTGATTTGGCTACATTTGGGCATGAATTTCGGGAATATTTTGCATTGGATTGGCCAATTTTGATTACTGCTGAGAGAAATGGCACAACCTAGTGGAAAACTCAAGGCCACACTTGTCCATTCCGGAGATGACTAGTGCATTCACTCTCTACTTTGACCAAGACAAAATCTGATTTGATTTGATTTGTTGTTGTCACATGCACCGAGATACAATGAAAAATGTTGTTCTGCATGCTCTACAAGCAGATCGTATCATACTAAAGTGCATCAGGTAGCAGAACAGAGTACAGAATACAGTGTTACAGCAGTAGACAAGGTGCAGAGAGAGAGAGATCAACATTAATATTTGGGAGGTCTGTTCAAAAGTCTGAAAACAGCAGGGAAGAAGTTATTCTTGAATCTGTTCATACATGTATTCAAACTTTCATATCTTCTGCCCGACATAAGAGGGTGGAAGAGATTATAACTAGGGTGGGAGGGGTCTTTGATTATGTTGATTATGCTTTCCGAGGCAGAGGGTAGTATAGATGGAGTCAGTGGGTGGAAGGCTGGTTTGCAGGCTGTGTTCGATTCTCTGTAGTTTCATGTGGTCTCGTGAAGAGCAGTTGCCATACCATGCTGTGATGCATCCAGTTAAGATGCTTTCTGTGGCGCATGTATAAAAATTGGTAAGAGTCTTTGTGGACATGCCGAATTTCCTTAGCCTCCTGTGGAAGTAGAGGCATTGTTATGCTTTCTTGACCATCGAGTCGACGTGGGTGGACCAGGTCAGACCACTTGCAATGAATGCTAGAAGATAACTGAATATGATATGCAAATATTATTTAAAATATACTCTTATATTTGTTTAATCTAAATAGGTTGGGAGCCGTGGAACCGTGAAAGATTGCACATGTTTCAATGTCGGCAGGGATGTTGATAATCTTCGTAAGGCAATAGTAGGATTAGGTAGGTGTACGTTAACTCTGAACTTGCATTTTAAAGTATAGCTTGAATCATTTCTGTACCAAGCTTCTAGTTGTAGTTATTTGCCACCATTATTTTGGTAGAGACCATATTTAACGTGCTTATTAATGCTTTTTACTTTATAGAGTTTGTTCTTGATCAATAACGAATTAGTGCAGGTATTCATTAAGTACATATGCTGAATATTATAAAACCATATTTGTCTAGGTAAATCTTCATGACAATGATGTTAAATCTTTAATCTCTTATAAAAGGTGGAAATTTGTTATGTTCCACCACATGAATTGGTTAAGGTGAAAGGTTAAGTTTAAGGTAGATGCGTTTGAGGGAAAGCTGTAAAAGCATGTTAAGGAGAAAGGTATAGAAGAATATGTTAATAAGTTGGGGTGAGATATAGTAACATAGAAGGATGTTCAAGTGGAACATAAACACCAGCATAAACTAGACATCATTATTTGTCTCTCTGCTTTATAATTCAATGAAATTCAAAGCTATTGTGAAAAGATTGAAATAATCATTTTATTTTGCTTTCTTCTTAGTCTGTGTGGAAATAGGAACGTTATCTGGGGTTTCTGCAGGAGTTCTGATCTCCTGCTGTAACTCTGGTGGATGGTCTACAGAAATCCCAAAGAAATGGTGGATTTTTTATGAACATGAATGCCCATTAGGCCTAACACATCTATAACTTTTGTGATAGATCTCAACCATAATTACTTACCTTACAGCCAGTGCCAGAAATTTCCACCCGGACTCTCCTGATTTCCTGGCATAACTTTGGTGCTAACCTCAGAGAAGTGTTGTAAATGGCCTTCATGATACTTCTCAATGGAAGTTCTACCAATCTTCCAGAGTTGTCAATTGGAGATTGTTGAACTCCATCTCCGTATTCTATTACACCTGGCTTTTCTGGGAACGCATCTGGTAGACAATGTTTTAGAAGTTGTATGGTTAGATTTCTTTGTCCTACCTGCTAACTGTCACAACAAAATCCTGGTTGGAGTTCTTCAAGTTATTAATGTTCCAGATAAGATACTCCAAATTGTTCTCCCGTCACAACAGCGTTAATTTAGAAAGGATCCTTTCCCTTGTGGATACTTTCCTCCCTGAACAATTGAATTTATGTTGTAAAGGATGTCAACTTAACCAGACTTTCTTAAGTTAACAAAAGAGCGAGTTTATTAGTTACTAATCACAAGAAGAAATAATAACAAAACACACATATACAGATTAGAAATGAGAAATAAGATATAAGATAAATGATGGAAGATATCTGGCTTTGTTTCTGGGTCTTCTGTGGAGAGTAGAATGCTGATAGTTGAGCAGTCAATTTTGAGATTCTTAGCTTTTCAGATTAGTTTAAATTATTTTGTCCTTTTATTTCTGACTGCTTGCTAGCTGACATATAGCTCTCAGAGAAATTGAATCCTTTACCTGCAATGCAATCATGAACATTGGGTGTTTCTTTGACTTTAACCATCACAGCATACTAACACTCAAATCTAGACTGGAGCATGTGAGTCCCTCAGCTCACTAGCACACCTGGCACTAACAGACACAGACCAGGGTTGAACTGGCTGTGAACCCTCGTTTTGAACTCTCAAAAGTACAAGGCACAAGACATGTCTATTGCCCAGACTGCTGTCTTTTCCCCGACCATGTTCACACTTGGGGATAACTTCCAGTTTGTAGGTTCATTTCTCCCCTTTTAAGTACATCCCTTTGATGATTCTTTAACACTTTATCATGTGGGATGTTCCAGGATCTCTCTCTTTTCAGACAACCACAGAATTTACATCTGCTTTATGAATTTGCATATGCTGTATGTCTTTTCCTTTAAAAAAGAGACAGCATAAATGAAGTTCAAGTTCACTTTAGGCAATCCAGGATTATGATCGATGGTCATGACAGAACTTAACAAATGTATTTACCCACTGATGGCATTGAAAAGACCAAGCCATTTTAGGAGGATTCTTGCTGTTGCCTACATTGTTAATGCAAAGAAAGTTCCAAACTGCACCAGTATGGAAATCCCAGATTAACATCAAAACAGAACTAAATACATTTCTAAAACCATTTGGTTCTGCTTTTGTGCAGCATGAGCTTTCTGACTGGAATCTACTGGGACTTCCTTTGAGAATGGCTGCATTCCAACATCAGCAATCAGACTTAATAAACACACTGACAGCTCCATTTTGTGATGGATCAACCTACATATTGGTCCCCATCAAAACTTGACTATATGGAGGGTTTTGATTTGTACTACTAGTACTACAGCTTTACTGTAATCAGATTTTTAAAATTAGTTTAAAATTGATAGGAAATACCAATAAGAATCTTGAAATGTTTCCAGATCTATGGCCAGATTTGGAAGATCAAAATTAAAATCAAGCAGGAAGTTTGCTACTGCTGAGGGTATCATTTGGAACTTGAGCTGATCTGTTTTAGATGAGACTATTAAGATTGAACAATCTATTAAGCTAGAAAGGAATGCTGAATTTCTCTGGTGGGGTCACAGTAGCTACGTAAATAAGGTATCTTACCTGTAGGCAGCTATAGATGCCATTTGAGGGTTTCCATCATTCCATTTGGAACTATTGTAAATTTAGGAAAAGTTCCAACAATTACAGAATTAAAGATAAAGTTAATAGCTTTCAATGTCAACGGTGCATGTATCTAAAAACTACGTATATGCTTCAACCAGAATTGTGAGCAAATTTTGCAGTTATGATTTGGCAATTATTACAAAATTTTATCCTTAATGATCAGAAATACTGTTAGTTCTGCTTTTACCTACAATATGCTGGTAGCGAAATTGCTATGATGTTATCACCAGATGTTATTACCAGACATGTAGATCCAAGCCAGGATCCTGGTTTGATAGATCATCTCTTCTTTTGTTAAGGTTTCAACGAAGTGGTCTTTCACTGAAATATAAGCACACAGTGTTGCAGATTTTGCTTTAACAACAAAACAGAAGTTTACCATGAAGGGAACAGGATAAAATACAATAATTAGTCTATTTATCTATAATACAAACTCAAAGGTTTTAAACATAACATTTCAACAGAAGTATAATCCCATTAATCACAAAATATTAGTTTATAAATTGAGAAGAAAAGAAACAACTTTTGTATAGTACCCAAAAGACCCCTCCTGTAACAATACTCAAAATGTTGTTTGTATAATACTCACCACCAGAGTGCCTATATCTAACACCTTGGCTCGTGATTTCAATCTTTAAACTGGAACTGCAGGAGCCTTCTTCCTGGAGATATCATACATTTTTTTAAGGTATTCAGCCTAGTAACGCCTTCGGGTTTTATTCCAAAACCTCTCACCTGGAACTAACACTAACATTTCACTCCAAGGTAATCTAAGTCACAAAATCTATCATTCTCAGGAACACTGCTGTGTACAGCCATCCTGTACCAAGGTCTTCCCAGGATTAATATTACCCAAAGTTAAAAATGAAACTAGCATTCTCTCTCCCTCAGCTACGGGTGTTTCTATTCAACTCAAAAGAAAACAATTGCAATAACTCTCTACCAAACCTTCGAGGCCCCAGTATTTACGATGCTGGGCTACAAACAATGTAAATCAAACAACCAGTGCAGAAAATCCATTCACGCTATAGCCAAGTTTCAAAAACTGTTCTATTAGAAGAAATCACCACAGTTACAGAAATACTTACATCTGTATTATTAAATTCAGACACAGAAAAATACCCTGCTCGTTACAAACTCAAAGCCATAAATCCAACAACTAACAACAACTTACATTAAAAATTATACATATAAAACCCATAGTTTATGTTACAGTATTTTATATTTAACAGCAAGGTAGCCTACCGTTATAATCCACAAGTTTTATTGCAACATGTTCCTCATATCTGGGAAGGGGAAATCTGGTACTTTACGTATTTGCATAATCTCCCATCAAAAACAGGGTTTTTCAACTGGAAATTACTGACTTAGTTGCTGGTTGGCAGGGGATTTTGTTTTGCTTTGCCACTGATTTTCATGGCAAGATAGAGATAAATATTTTAGGAATATGTTTGTGCATTATGTGTTCCTAACTCCTATCTAGACTTACAACATTATAAGCACCCTTAATGAGAAGCTAATTTTAATTTTTAATCTAATTTTAGGAACTAATGAACAAGCAATCATCGAAATTCTGACACACAGAAGCAACTGGCAACGTCAACAAATTTGTAAAGAATACAAGGGAACCTGCGGACGTGTGCGTGTCAGACTGTTAAGATAATCTACCAAGGAAGATTACTTTTGGCTCTGTAGCTTAAATGTTTTGATTTGAGTATAATGCATGCAGTTAGAATTGCTGCTTTCCTTATTGCTCAAATTATGATAAGTCACAATAGACAAAACTTTCTAGAAATGACTTTTTCTCCCCTTCTTTATATAACCCTATCCATCACCTACACCTCTATCATTTCAATTCCACTGTACTACTGAGCACTAGGATGTCCATAGTAACAAAGTATGATGATTGTCCTATTTTGCTGTCTTTGTCTCATAATTATTATTGATAATGATCTGATTTCCTGTTGAGATATATTTATAACTGTGTGAGATTAGGTACTCAGCAAATTACAAATATGAGTTGATATTCCATGTTAATTGTAAAATACTGTACCTTCATTGATTGAAAGATACAAACCACTTGTAGATTTGTTTTAACAAGGTGTAGAGCTGGATGAACACAGCAGGCCAAGCAGCATCATAGGAGCAGGGGATGCTTGGTCTGCTGTGTTCATCCAGCTCTACACCTTGTTATCTCAGATTCTCCAGCATCTGCAGTTCCTACTATCTCTGTAGATTTGTTTTGTTTTTACTACAGATATATTACTAAGGAAGATACATGCCTAAGATGTGCTTACTTCAAACAAATCCAGAATTCAGTTGTCTGGGTAAAGGGATTAAAAAAATGAACAACTGCTGATTCTTGAAATCAGAAACAACAGAAATCGCTAGAAAAGCTTAGTAGCTCTGGCAGCGTCTGTAGAGAGAAAGCAGGGTTAACATTTTGGTCCAGAAGGGTCATTGGACCTGAAACGTTAGCTCTGCTTTCTCTCCACAGATGCTGCCAGACCTGCTGAATTTCTCCAGGAATTTCTATTGTTGTGTCTGGGTAAAGATTTTCTGCCCAAAATCTCTTTCCAGGTAATCCTGGAAAACTTAAATGTGGTAATAATCACTAACTAATAGGGGAATTAAAACAAATGCAGTCCTGTCAGAATCAACAATGTATAATTACTAGTTCCCAAAGGACTCACAGACAACTATATGTTCTGCTCTTATCTTTGAGATATTTAACAATAGCAATCTAAAAGCAGGAGCATTTTTGGAAACTGCTGTTAAATAAATCTTGTGTTAACAAGTGGAATGATGTTAAGAAAGTGCATAAATAGAACTGTTGATTGGATAATGTTCTGGTTAGTCTTAAAAGCATCATATACTATGATGGTAATTTACAACTTCCCCTCTTGTTGTGTAACTGAATAAAACGATTATGACTGATATAAACCTCCACCAGCAGTGCAGTAGAACATGAACGTCCCTGTAATGATGGCCATGGCATTTTTGCATTGGTTTGAACAGATTAAGTAGCAATAGAGAGTAAATTAAAACAAGTTTTTTTTTCTATCCTTATCATGTCAAAACAAGACACCATCTTGAATAACTTACTGGAGAATTTTGTTTTTGATATAGTATAATATTATGTAACTAATTGACAGACCCATTAATTAAACACTCATATGTGGTTAACATTTTATAATTGAAAAACAGGTAACAGGAGGTTTTCTATCAGGAGTAAAGAAAAGTGAACCTCATTAAAATGTCAGCATGGTCAGTGATGGCACCTATGCCTCAGTGCCAGAAGGTTACATTTTGAAATCCCACTCTACAACCAGAACCAGTAGACAGAATTTTAAATACATTTTCAATGAGTACTATATTGCTACCTCAGTATAAAACCAATATTGTGAATTGACAAACTGCCAAAGTAAGTGTCGGATTTTAATTTCCAGTAATTTGTCTTTCGGATTAAATTTTATGGTCAAGTAAATGTGAAAGACCTCTGAAGAACAGGGATGGGGTTCTTCTGTTGTTCCAACCATCCTTCATTCCTCAAACTATATCACTGGAGCTGATTAACTAGTTTGTATTTCATTGCTGTCAGTGAGACAGATTGTGTGCTGTCACTTCCCTGCAGTTCAAGAATGGCTGTACCTAAAACTGAGTAAATGCACAGTGTTTTAGGATTTAGATGTATTGAGGATGTAATTGGTACTGCATAAATTTCAGGTTGAACAGCAGGGCACTTCAGAGGTTACAGTGTAAGGCACCAGAATAAGTAATTGCTAAACAATTTTGGAAAAAAAAACTAAATGGTTTAGTTCTACATTGTTATAACCTTTTATGTGGCTGGCCTGCTTTTCTATTTCAGGAGCTAATTGATGATTTAAAAGGTGACCTTTCTGGTGACTTTAAAAATGTGATCACTGCTCTGGTGTTGCCGCCAGCACTATTTGATGCACAGGAGCTAGAAAGAGCAATGCGGGTGAGCTCGATTTTCTGTTACTTTTGGCTTGTCCATTTATATAAATTGAGGACTATTTTATCCGCTTATCAACAATAGCAACTTTTTTTTTTACACAAACTCTGTACATCACGACTTGGTTGTACTTCATATTGTAGGCTTTGGAAAGAGTGAAATGCAATAATTTCTGAAGTTTTCCAGATGTCCAGTTTGATCCTGTTCAGTTTCATCCCATTTTTGTTCAGATTGTAGGTGAAATAACAGCTTGTAACAGCATACTGCTCCTTTACTAAATGTTTTGTATCCCAACATAAAATACGCTATCGTCATGAACCAGTACCTCAGTTTGATAGTTGAATGACTGGGAGGGTTCTAATAATGGTTAGTGTAATGGAGGTCTGAGTTCTGGAGACTGAAAGTTGGGAAATGCCTCCTTGCTAAGATGTGAGTAATGATGACAGAGCTTCTTAAATATGGCTAATAACTAGAACTATGTGTATAGCTTTGGATACGAGAAGGTCAGCTGAGCCCTGATTTGATGCTACATCGTCTGCTGTTGCCCATAGTAATCGTTCCTCATCTTTGAAACTCCTATAGTTAAAAGGAATTCCCAAAGGAAAGCTCTGCATTGAAAACTTTCAATTCAGAGACCAATGTACAGAATAGTACTTGAATAGTAGGAAACAAAAATGAATTGTAAAAATGGCCTTCAAAAGAATGGAACCAATAAATAGTAAGAAAATAAGTGACTTGCAATAAAAAAAAATATGTCAGGAACTTAAATTCTAGACACCCGGAAGTCTGTTGTAAAGTCCATATATTTTTCAGGTTTTTTTTTAACGTTAGTAGCTGGCTCCTAAACCAATGATAAACAAATCCGCAGGAAAGCCAATTAAATTGTGCACAATTCTCAGTCCTTTATTGAAGTATATGCACTTTAGCAGCCTCAGCTCAGTCAGATACTATCAGCTGCAGGATTCCAGCACTCAAATTCAATGCTGCACATCCCTCTTATCAAGGCTCTTGTGTAAAGACTAAAGTGGGAAGACTTGTCTTCCATCAGTCAGCTTGGCCTGAATTTTAAACTTGCCACTCTTTCACAGCAGGGTTAATCAATAGTGTTTTGGAAACACTGAAATTTGACCAGCAGATTAATGAGTAGGTTTTCTAACTCAGCCATGGCATTTACATCTGACTTCTGGGTTTCTCAACCAATTGTAGAGGACAAGTATAGTGATGACCCACAGGTATAGTTGATGCATCATTATATAAAGATAACCTGTAAGGATGAGAAAAGAAGTAGACAGAGCCAGACACCTAACAGATGGAAGGTCAACAAGAGAAGGTTGTGTTGTATATAGATAATGGGTCTAAAAGGGTTAATGTTTGTTACTGCATAAAGCTTCATCCAATTAGATGAGGTCACTCTTGCTAGCATAGAGATAGGGCAGAACATCTTACAATCTCATAGAGTATAAATCTGTATCCATGGATCTTCTCATAGTCTTATTAAAAATAGACTTTTAATCAATCTCTTTGGACGTGTTATGATCTGGCCAAGAGCTAGGGACATGACAATTGCACCACAAGACCCAGATCCTCATGGTCTTATTAACAATGTCTAACCAACTAATGTAACTTGTTTCATTGGTATCGTACAATGAAATTCATTTTATTAAGACAACACCCTCCTCTTGTTAAGACTCAGCAGTGTCTAATCCTCTCCTACTGTAAACTAATCAGACACTCAGACCTAGTCAAATGAAAGAGAATTGGTGGCCGTACTCTTGTCACACAAGTTGCATCTTAGTTCTCTGATGCATCATTGACATTTTCAATGATCACTCCTGAACTCACGTGGCTTCAGCTGTATCTTTCTTAAGTGTCATTGGTAGGCTTCTCATATTGCATCATTCAGACTGTTAGAATTTAGCCCTTGTCTTCAATTACCCATCTGCTGACTCTGCTTGGCATGCAAACATTTGTTGGAAAATTATTTGATTCAGGATGAAGGCATCATGGCAATTTCCTGGTTAACTCGCACAATGTGCATGTTTTTTTATTTTCTGGGTTCATACTTGATGCTGAAACTTAATGGAGTGGAATCCCTTTGACTGATGTATCCTGCTGGTTGATATAAGGGTTACTGCGTTGTCACATGTGTGCAGTCAATGGCTCCATGCACCTATGGGAATTTGGCCAGGAGAAGAAATCCCAGGGCCCTCTTATTCAAACTGGCCTCAATCGTAACAAATTAGGTATAAGTATTAACTCTGCCAAACAGTGTTAGCCACTTGGAAGATGAACATTGGCTCAGCAAATTGTGAACTCCTGCTCAGTCGCCAGCAGATCACTGGAAAGTGTGAGAGGCAAAAAAAAATCCAGAGCCATTGTAATCTTGAAAATCATTGGCTATGTGTGCCCACTGTGTCCACTTGGCAGGAGGGGGCAGCAGTAATTTATTTTGACAATGTTTTGCTGGGTAAGGGTATCAAGGCAACTGGTTGAAGGCAGGTAAAAGGTGTTGAGGTACAGTACCGATCCACAATCATTTGATTGAATTTTAGAACAGATTTGAGAGGTTGAACAATCTGCCCACATTTCTGTGAACAGCTGGAGTGAACAATAACAGTTGTTAACAGCTCACATCTCCAGCAAATTTAAAAAAAAGTCTTGAGCTGGAAGTGTAGGGACACGTCTAACTCATGTCAAATCCTGTTTGATGCCCTGCTACAGTAAAATCTGACATATTATTGTTCTTAAATTGACCTTGGCAGTGAATGAGTCAACGTGCTGTGAGAGGAAGTGCTTTATCGTTATCAAAGGCATAATACTAGACATACTGTGACTAAGAAAATGGGAACATTTCTTCATGGAAGAAGAGATTTTTTTAAAAGAGAGCAATGCACATTTAAGATGGAAGCAAACTAGGGACAGAATAGATGTGACATATGTATGAAAATGTGTATACATTGAAGAAAGTTGGTCAGGATTTTGCATATTATTTAAATGTATCAACATATTGGAATCTAGAATTAAAGAAAATGTGGCAGATATTCCTATTCTTGGCTATGCTGGATCACATAAACACATCACACAGAACAAACATTGACAGAATAATCCATGGTGTGCGATAGCCTAGTGATTATGGTGCTGGATTTGTAACCTGGAAGTTGAATTCAAATTTCACCTTGGTAAGTTGGTGTATTAATGTTGTTTAAAGAAGAAAATAATGTCAGGTCTGACTTTTATCGAACTCTAGACCCAATGTAGTTGACTCTCAATTGGCCACTGAAAACGCCTTGCAAGCTAGTTGGATGTATCAAACAGCTACAAAGACCAATAAATGGAATAAAATCTGAAGGACCAGCTGGCATAAAAGCGACAGAGGTACACCTGTCCAATTGGCCCCGAAAAACCCTCCTCATTAATATCTAGAGACATATGCCAAAATAAGCTGTTCCATAGACGAGTTAAACATCAACTGGTCATAGTCATACTTACAAAATCAACCAATGGGTCAGATTCATAAGTCCCTAAAAGCTGCCAGATTGTCATTAAGAGGCCAATTGGCTTGATAATGTTCATCAGGGAAGGGATATGTTACTCCAGTTCCATGATTTGGTTGACATTTACTGGCCTCAATATAGCCAGGATTGGACAACAGATAAAACCTTGGCACTGTTGCCTGCATCCTAAGAATAAATTTTAATTTAGAGGAAATAATTTTCTGTTAATAGGACACAGAAGTATAAGGAGCAAGCAATTCTGTTCATATTTTCTCTTATTCACTTGTTTGAGACAATGCAAAATACACAGGAATAAGAGCAAGTAAACGTGTTTCCATGTCTTTCTCCATACCCTCTCTGCTAAAACTATATCCATCTTCATATTGTCTGCATTTGCTAGCCTGAGCTCCAGCTCAAATGTTCTTGCTGCATAATTGTTTTAGTTTTGTAGCAAATTGTCCAATCTCATCTCAACACATCAAATACATTAAGGATGTATCAGAAGTGAAAGCACATTGTGCTAACATGTTTAAACGTCTCCGTCCTCCCTACTGCAATGCTCTTCAGTTATTTTAATGAACCTGCTTTGACAGGCTTCCAGGGCAGATAGGACTGACACCTGTGCCTATTAGCTCAGGGGTAGGGACACTACCACTGCAACAAAGAGCCTCCAATGCTCTTTAATTTTAGTTTGGTTATTTAGTGCATTTGAATTTCATTGGTCATAAAAAGTAAAAATAAAAATTGAGGTTGATGTTTCTGAAGAGCAGAGTGAAATAACAATAGTCTTATATTACTGCTTGGACTTCTGTCTGCTCTGCTCTTTTTTCCAGCAAAGATTACTCAGCTGTAGAAAATTCTGCAGACCCTTGAGAACTTTCAGAGAATAGGGTCAATGGAAAGAACATTGAGTAATAAACATTATTTTTAATTTAGCTTTACTTTCGTTCTGAAATTTTCTTTGACTTGATTTCTTTAGGGACCTGGTACAAATGAAAGTGTGCTGATCGAAATTCTTGCTACAAGAAGCAACCAGCAATTAAAAGAAATAAAGGAAGCTTACCATTCAGGTACATGTATTTTTTTATTGCAAATATTTTGTTATGTCCAAAGACTAGAAGAAAACTGCTTTCTGACACCCTTGCCAAATTCAGTGCTTAAAAATGGATTCAAGGCTGGTAGTTTTATTTTCTTTACTTAACTTGCTAGTTGGAAAATGTGCTGGAACGATTTGGGTGGATCTGCTTTCTTTAAGGTTATTTGCTGAGATCTTGAAAGTCATCAGCACAGTTTGTTTAAAAATTAGCCCGAGAATAGACTATTCAATCTGAAAACCGTATTAAGAGGTATTTGTTTACTTGAGGAACTTCATAAGGTACAGTTTATAGGTCAGCAGGCAAAATGGATGATTTGCAGAGTTTTGGGATCATTAACGACAAACTTTGCCCTCTAAACTAAGATAAGAACAAAGACAAGTTTTTCAGCTCTTTTCTCCTTTTTGGCATCTGTTCAAAGAGATCATGGTTAATATGTGGTATAACTACATATAGTTGCCTGTGCTCCCTATTGTTAAGAGGCCTTCCAAGCCTATTTTTGAAGTGGACTTACAAGCCCACTGCAACTAGAGTACTTTAATGGAATTTCTTGTTTGCAACAGAACTTTGTATCCACTCTAAACTATGGTCCTAGTTCCTGCTGTTCTACTACACATGCATGTCTAAGCACGCCTTTGCAAATACTGAAAGCCTACATGTCTAAATAGTTATTTTAATCAATGTGTGCAGACATGTTATTAGACATCTCTGGAACAGGTAGAACTTGAACCTAGGCCTCTACCACTGTGCCACAAGAGTCCCAAACTAAATTTACAAGTGTAGGTGTAGATATTTGTAACCACCCTATATCATAACACATCTCAGCAGCAGGTGGGATTTGAACCCAGACTTCCTGACACAAAGGTATGGGAACTACCACTATACCACAAACACCCTTCTTACACATCAGAGTAGATATTTTCTAATCAACCTGCTCAGGGATGTTATGATAGACTTTGGGAGCAGGTGAATCTTGAATTTGGGCTTTCTGGTCCAGATGTACCAGTGCACCACAAGGACCACGACATCATAAGGATCCTTTAAATTCTGGATGTCTTTCATCAACCTGTTCCGATGGGTTATGACGCACCTATGGAGCATGTGGAACTTAAATCCATACCTCCTAGATCAGAGGTAGGGACACTACCACAAAACACCTAGTTACCTTACTACTTTCCACTGCTAGGTATTTCATTTGAGAATTCCCCTCTTTTTATGAGTGTTTCCTAACTACTCATGAAAAGCCTGGCTCGAATTCTTTGCCTGTGAAACCCCCTCACTCCATCCTTAGACTTCCAATAGTAGAAATAAATTTTAATGTTTTTATGGGATGTGTGTATTTTTGACTCAGCCTGCATTTACCGCACACCCCTAATTCCTTTTGTGAAAGTAATCTTGAGCCGTCATTGTGAACCACTACAGTTCAAGGCTGCTAAGTACATCCTAAGTGCAGTTAGGGAGGGAGTTCTAAGATTTTGAGCCATTGACAGTGAAGGAAAGACGATATAGTTCTACGTCAGGATGGTGTGTGGGTAGGAGCGGAACCTGCAGGTTGGTGGAGCTCCCGTGTGTCTATTGCTCTTGACCTTATACGTGGTAGTGCTTATGTCTTTGGAAGGTGCTGTCAAAGAAGCTGTGGTGTTGCTGCAGTGCATCTTGCTGATGGTGCAGCCTGCTGCTACTGTGTTTCAGTGGTGAAGGCAATGAATGTTGAAAGTGGTGGATAACGTGCCAGTAAAGTGGCTTGCTTTGTCTTGGACGGTATCAAGCCTTTACAGTGTTGCTAGAGTTGCAATCATCCAGGCAAGCGGAGAGCATTCCATTACATTGCTTACTTGAGTGTGGTAGATTGATGGGCAGGCTTTGGGAAGGCTGGAGGTGAGTTAATTCTTTGCTGAAGTCTTCCTAGCCACTAACTTGCTGTTGTAGCCATATTATATTTATATGGCAGTTCCAGTTCAGTTCCTGGTCAATGATAACCCCAGGATGTTTATTCGGTGCTTGTCGTGCCATTGATTGTCAAGGAGAGATAGTCAAATTCTCTCTTGTTGGAGAAGTTCATGGCCTTGAACTTGTATGGCACAAATGTTATTTGTCACTTATCAGCTCAAGCCTGGATGTTGTCTAGGTTTTGCTACATATAGGCACTGTATGTGAGGAGTCGTGAATGGTGCTGAACGTTTTGTAATCACCAGCAAACATCTCTACTTTTGACCTGATGATGGTGGGAGCAGCTAAATACGATTGGGCCTAGGACACTACCCTGGGGAACTCCTGCAGAGATGTCTTGGAATTAGGAATGACTGATCTCCAATAACCACAAACATCTTAATTTATGCTGGGTATTATTTCAGCCGAGAATAAGTGTGGGGTGATGTACTTAGGGCGAGACAAACAAGGCAAAGGTGATGAATGGTAGGACCCTGGGAAGTACCAAGAATCAGAAGGAAATTTGTAGTCATGTTCACTGGTCCCTTAAGGTAGCGGGACAGTAGATGAAGTGGTTAAAAAGGCATATAATATATTGACTTTATTAACCAAGGCAGAGAGTTTGAAAGGAGGGAGTTTATGCTGGAACTGTATAATATGTTGGTTAGGCCACAGCTACAGTATTGTGTGCAGTTCTGGAATCCACATTATTGGAGGAATGTGATACTTTGACAAAGGCGCACAAGAGATTTACTAGAACGTTACTAAGACTGGAGAGTTTTAGTTATAAAGAGAGATTGGATACACAGGAGTTGTTTTCCTTGGAGAATAGGAGACTGAAGATGGGCATGATCGAGATGAATAAAATTGTGAGGGCATAGACAGGATAAACAGGAAGAAATGTTTCCCCTTGCTGGAGGAACCAATGACCAGGGACATAGACTTAAGATAAAGTGCAGGAGATTTGGAGGGGATGTGAGGAAATATTTGTTTCACCCTGAGGGTGGTGAAAATCTGGAACTCACCACTGTAAGGGTGGTAAAGGCAAAAGCCCTTGTAGCATTTAAGAAGTATTTAGACATTCACCTGCAATGTCAAGGCATACAAGGCTATAATCCAAGTGCCAGAAAATGGGCTTAAAATAGTTAGGTTCTTGTTTTTGACCAGTGCAGACTTGATCAGCCAAAGGGCCTTTCTCAGTGCTATAGATCTCTTTGATTCTAAAAAGAGATTTTTTAACCCGAGTGGCCCTGGAAGAACCAAAGCTCAGGGTTAGTGAGCAGGATTTTGATAAGCAAGTTGTCCACATGGTTTGTTCCCCATCAACCAATGTTCGAAATCTGTTCAGTGACTACTTAAAAGCTGCAATATGACTTCAGGCAGGATGATCTCCCGCCAACCTTCCTTCCTGCCCAACTGAACACTCCACATCATTTCTGTTCAGGCCAATATAGAGAATTGTAAGGGATATAGAACATAGAACATTACAGCGCAGTACAGGCCCTTCTGCCCTCGATGTTCCGCCGACCTGTGAAACCAATCTGAAGCCCATCTAACCTAAACTATTCCATTATCATCCATATGTTTATCCAATGACCATTTAAATGCCCTTAAAGTTGGCGAGTCTACTACTTTTGCAGGCAGGGCATTCCA